CATAAGGAGGATTCGATTACTGTGGTTGCAAGTGCTTGATCACTCACATTTTTCCACTCCAATGGAAAACTCCTATGTCTCATTCCTACTTTCATAACTTCTTGATTTTGTGGATCAAGTATGGTGCACCTATTATCTTTAAATATAAGTGTGTAGTCTTTTTCAATCAATTGACCAATACTAATCAGATTCTGATCAATAATAGGCACATATAAAACATCTGATATGAGTTTGGTACCTGTTGAGGTCTGTACTGCTATTTCTCCTGCACCTTTTACCTCCACAAACTCACCATTTCCAACCTTAACTCTTGACGTGAGTTTGTCATTCATCTTGGTAAAGATGCTTAAGTTGGATGTCATATGGTGAGTGCATCCACTATCCAGCAACCAGGCTTCAGACATTAAAATTTGTTGCTGTGAACAGATGTTCTTCCAGTTGATGCTCTCAATTCTCAGCAACTTGAGCTTGCTGCATGTCCTGTTTTTCCTTCTTACTTTTGCATACCTTCTCAATGTGACCAAATTGTTTGCAAGCCCTACATTGTACTCCAGGCGTGAACCAACACCATTTAGGTGAATGTCTTGTCTTTTTGCAATGAGGACATGGTGGATACTTCTTTCCTTCACCAAAATTTTTGTTGCTTTCAGCACCCTTCTTCTCATTAAATGGTTTTTTCATCCCATAACTAGTTTGAGCTTTGTATTTTCCTTTAGCAAACAAGGCTCCCTCGACTTGCTCTTCTTGTCTGATCAATCTTCTTTGTTCTATGGCTTGAAGAGCATTGACTAGCTCAGACAATGACATGCTGGCCAGATCCCTGGAATCTTCAAGTGAGGAGATCTTGGCTTCGAATTTTTCAGGCAAGCTGATCAAGACCTTCTCTACTACTCTCCTGTCTGGCAAGTCATCACTTAGCAACCTGATTTGGTTAACTATCTTCATCAGTCTATCAGCAAATTCTTTGACAGCTTCTGATTCCTTCATCTTCAGAGTTTCAAACTCCCTTCTTAGGTTCAGCACTTGCATCTGTCTTGTCCTTTCATTGCCTCGAAATTCCTCCCGTAATCTATCCCAGGCTTCTTTTGCAGTTTCACAAGTTATAATCCTTGTGAAAATGGCATCTGAGACAACAGATTGTATGCAAGAAAGAGCCTTAAATTTCTTAGCAATCTCCTCACTATGTTGCTTCAGCTATGCAATTGTGGGATTTGCTCTAAGTGGTGGAGGTTCAGTACCATTTTATGTGATTTCCCATAAATAATAAGCTCTCAAACATGCTTTCATCTTTGCAGCCCAGAAATCATAGTTTTCTCCAGCAAATATTGAAGGCAAAGGAGCTGTGAAACCACCAGAGGCCATTACTCACACTCACTAGGTTATATGTGGTTGTTTTCTGATTTTCTCACCAGAGTCTGCCCTTCTTCCTTTCTTCGTGTTCTAAGGCCAAAGTGGCTCTGATACCACTGATGGAATATGATTCACAAAGTGGAAGAGAAAGACTTGAAAACCAATATGAAAATAATCAGCCACACATACATAATCGACTG